CTTCAGATTGTTTTTGTCCCCAGTCCAACTGGTTGTACCATCATCTTTCTTGACTCGTTTCACAAGTGGTTCGTTTGTAGACATCTTGGCCCTGGTCGCAGCTGGCAAGCTACCAGCCGCAAGATGCAGCCGGGTCAGAAGTGTTTCATCGTTCGAGTATAACCACTGCGGTTTGGGACTCTCCAAGGAGAAAACACCATGCAGGATCGTGGTGCGCCAAACCTGCACAGAAGCATACATAAGTTGAAAGTGTCTTGTTTTTTCCACGCCTTGAAGCTGTTGAACAGCCACGCTAGACGAGGGTGCATCTCAGCCTTAGAGCCTTGCGGTTGTTCAAGCAAGACTCGCAAGCCTCTGCAAAGGGCAAGGCAAATAACCAAGACTGTTCTGCAACACGCAAGATTGCCAAAGGCAACCGAAGGGTATCCGTGATTTCCAAGTGGAAATAGAATGCTCCGCTGATGGGTGCCCATGTTCCTGGGTCTTTGCAAGCCCAATGAAAATGAACAGTTTACTGCATTTGAGCCATTCAAACTACAGTTAAAACGCTGTCCATGCACGGGTTGCAGTAGCTCCCACAAGGAAGCCCAATCATCAGCAAGCCTCCAGCTCGTATACGGCGAACTTCCTGCAACACAGACCTGAACCAAAGCAAAAAAAGAAACAAGGAGTCAGAGCATACGACTTCCAAGGGCCACACAAGAAGCCACCAGAAGTTGTGATATCCAAAGTTGGACTCACTTCTTTATCAAAGGATGTGCCTTTGAAGCCAGCCTCAAAAAATTGAGTTTTTGAGAAAAAGGTCAAGCACACAAAGACACACCTCACGACATAGGGACCCCTGCAGTCCGAAGCGATTCACTGACTCTTCCAACGCCACTGAATAGTTCAAGAAAATCTCTATCCTGCAGCCCGCCCAAAATAGCAACTGCAGGTTTTGAACATCACGCAAGCTAATCTCCTCCGGAGCGTCGCAAAATTTCTCATTGTGCACGAGAAGAAGAAGAACTAGAATCAAAGCCGGGGGGAGCCCCCAGCTACGCATCTCTGCAACTACCATGGCCTAAATTGAGAAACCTGTCCAAAAAGCTGATGGCCCACAAAAAAACTCAGCAAGCCTGCAACTGTGTTCCCACTTGCACAGCACAGCTTCACCACATTCAGTGCGCAACACTCCTTGGGAATGTTTTCCAACCGCTCCACGACTCACCCCAACGCCCACCCAAGTTTGGGTGAAAACCCCGAGATCTAACGCTGCAGGTTTTCCCACAGCCACACAACTGTGCAGGCAAAACAGGAAGGGTACCGGTTGTCTTAAACTTCCAGAAAAATGTTTCCTCATGGACCTATGAAGACCACACAGTTGCTACAGAAAACCCAAAATACAGATTGAAAGCCATTTCACATGATGAACCGACGCTTCTTCAACTCGGGCTCAGTCAGCGTTGAAAGCAGGTCAGCGCGGAGAGCACTGAGCATCCACAGGTCACTGCATTCCTTCCCACTGAGCCCAGATCTCTCACGGACCGCACTGGTGAAGGATCTTTTGGCCTTCGTGAATGTTGTTGGGGAGTATGCGACTTCCCCAATCTCTCCACGGACCATTGCCTCAACGTCCTTTTCAATCTGAGCCACTTCAGCTGGAGATACTTTCACTTGTTTTTTCTTTGAAGCCTTGCTCTGTTTTGGTTTTGTCTTTTTCGCGTTTTGCTTTCCACTAGCCTTGCTACCCTCCAATGGTTCACCAGCCTCCTGCTCCTCAACCTTTTCCTCATCCATATCCACCCCATGAATGGCAAAGGGCCGGACCCTCTCGCAGAGCCTTCAGAGCCTCAACAAAAACAAACATCGCTTCAGCGCACCATAGCCCGCCCTACCCTCAAATTGAAAAATCAATACACAATTGTTTAAATTACAGAAGGGTAACCCACGGTGGCATCTCCATCCGAGCAGAGGGGGCTTCTCCAACGGTAGAGTCCGGACTTGGGCTTAAGCTGGGCTTGGAAGTGGGTGTAGCAGTACTAACCGACGCAGAAACTTCCTGACTTTCCTCAACCTCAAGACTTTCCAAAGCCTCTTCCAAGCCTTGGAACCCTCGGAAGGTCTTCTGGACAAGCTCCACTGAGCTTGCTAAGGTGGCTGAGGGTGAAGGCAAAGGAGAATTTGCAGGAGGGGAGATCGGCGCTTCTTCACTAGACAAAACCACAGCTTCGTTGACACGCTTCTTCAGGCTATCTAGTGTTTTGCATTTGCTGGCCAAAGGTGACTCCTTCCACACTTTTTTGAAGGCTACCACTAGGTTTTTTGCAGCGTAAGCCATCTTACCTGCCCATTCCTCCACCACCTCACCGGACACCCCGGTGGCTGGAGTGAGCCCTACCAAAGCAGCCCAATGAAGGATACCATCTCTGATTGCATGTTCTGCGGTTCGGTCATGTGGACTTGTAGTGACCACACCATAAATCACCTGCACTGCTTGAAAATAGACATCTAAATTGTTCTAAGTGATTCCTGCCTTCACGTTGAGCGCCAGGTCTTTCTGTGTCACAATGCCCTTCCAAAACTTAGTGCAGTGCGCTTGCACGAAGTTCCAGGTCACCTCAAAACACAGGTCACAAAACCAAGAATACTATTAAGGAATTGCCCATACATCAGTGAGGCTCCAGCTGGCACACCCTCGGCTTGCCAAGCCAAAGCGTATCGCTCACTCAAACCAGGATCGCGAATCATGAATTTAGCAAGTCTGGGCATATCGTCAGTATGTGAAACACAGCTTCGTTCAGTGCCAAATGCCTGCGTGATGATAGACAGGAAAGCCACATGCACCACAGCTTACCCACAAATTTCCCATCACAGCAAACAGCAAAGCAGGGCGCTGCTTGAGGCACCATCTGTGCGCGCCGCGTGGCGCCATGGTTTGTACTTAGTCCATGGCATCTCCAGGGGCCAAGAAGCCACTGCAGAATCAAAAAATGCAGAAAAAACAAACCTGGAAAAATCACACGCGCAAATGATTGCAGCGCAAACACCTTGAAGTGACTGTGGCCAAATTAGGCCAGGTACATGATTCCACCTGCTTTTCCACCTTAACGCCAAGCTCAGGGTTGGCTGCGTGTTGTGCACTGTTCTGGCACGCGTGCACAGGCGAACGCACAAAACTTTGACTGCGCCTGCCACAGCCTGTGTGGGCAAGAAAACGGTTCACAAGGCGTCACCAGAAGAACCTGACCAAGGGAATCAGATTAAGGCTCTGCGGAACAACAATCAAAGCAGTTGACAGGCAATCCTTTGAATTCCATCCTTTTTCAAGGAATTTGGTGTATTGAAAGTGTTTACAATCCAGCCTTCAGCAGCGCAAGAAATAGTTCAGCAGGCTCCAAGCCTGCAGCCGTGCAGTGCCATGCTCTGTCGAAAGCTTGGCCAAACCAGCCACGCAGGAATTTACCTATGTTTTTGGGGTTTTTACCCATGTTTGCTGGGTATTTACCTATGTTTCGCCCGTCTCATCCGAAACAAGGTTTCCACATGATTGTTGGGTGTTCTGTTTATCTGTATAATATCCATCTATCTATCATTCTCACTATCAATTTATTATATGCTATGCAACATACACACACATATAATATATATATATATAACTCTACGCCTGGAAGTAAAACACAGAACTCGAAGCAGCTGCCTGCAACATGGTGCCAGTGCCCTAGGGCTTCACTGCACCACAACCTCCTGGAGATTGGATGCGACCAGGCACTCCCACACACGGACATTGCTGAAGCCCCGAGTCCTGTGAGATCTCATGGGCACCATCGTCGATGGTCGAGGGCATCTTCCTGTGCACGACTTCTTGGTCCCAGCTTCGAAAAGTACAGGACCGCACGACATATTGAGCTCACGTGCAAGCAAGCCTTCCTCACAAAAAAAAAATCTAATCGCGCAACCGAAGCCACAGGGCCTCTTTCGACTGAACGGAAGCACATTCAATTCTAAATGCATTTCTTCTGGATACGCCAGAAAACATCGTCAAGTTAAACAATGTGCTTCTCTGCTCGTCTGCCTCGCCGACAAATGATCCATCCATGCCAATTCATGGCGCAACCCCCGGACTAAAGTGAAAAAGTCAGGCATGTGGCTATGGTTCTGTGGTGAAATCGTCGAGTGTAGTGGAGTCGCATAGTCGAACACCCTTGCACTAGGGATTTACCTATTATTTGGGGTGTTTTGCCCAAGTTTGCTGGGGGATTTACCTATGTTTCGCCCGTCTCAGCCTGCCCGGAGAATTGTGTGTGCATGGTTGCCTATGTCGCCTGTGAAACGGGTTTTGATCGCCTGAGTAGTGATCAAAGCAGGAAGACACCCTAGAAAAAATAAACATATCATCACACATCGCGCCAGCAAAGTTCACAGCGCCATTCAAGACTAGTCAAAAAAGTATTAAACCTCACAAATGAGTCGAAACCTCCGAGTTACGGATTATTTTCTTTTTTCGCGCAACGCAGGTCCACCCCCTAGGGGGATTTGGACACGATATTGGGGGATTTGGACACTATAGCTTCTAGCTTTTTTTTGTGCCCGAAACGATTCTTTAGGAATGCTTTTTTTGTTCTCGACCAGAAACAGGACGCAGCCCAAAAGAGACCAAAAAGATGACGCCAAAAAATCAAAAACACAACCCAAACGATGCAAAATATGATCCAGAAACTGCAAAACAGTGCTATGGACAACACTGAATATCACTGGATCTAGACCGTTGCTAATGCATCATCAGGGTCAAAAATGGATAATCCATTTTCTGTTGGGGGTCCGACCCCCCCACCCCCTGGGGTAGCAGGGATGTTTCAAGGAGGCTGGCAACATCTGGAAACCTTGAGAAGACTCCTAAGGAGTTCCTTACAAACTTCAGTCAGGAGGGATGAGGAGGATGGGTTTTCGTTGGGTAGCGGGAGGGTACTTGCTTGAACTGCACCAGCAGCGAGATGCATCGAGATGCATAGAGAAGTGAGGCATCTACATCGCCAATGTGGTGAGCCCTGGACACTTGGGCGTCGGACCCTTTAGCCGCTTGGCCAGAAAAAAAGACAGGAAGGTGAAGGGATGCGTGGCTTTCCTGTAATGATTTCCACCAAGTCGACAAACTAAGAATGAGCACACAGCATCAAGCAGCCAGATCAGGGCCAGTTAAATGGATCCATGCCAACATGTTCTTACTGTTTCTTACTTCTCAGCCCTGCAACATTACCTGCTAGGTTACTAGTTACAGTAGTTTGTTCCTCAGCGTTAAAAGAATTGTTGAGTTACCATGGGGTCCTTGTCCTGCTGAATTGGAACGCCTGTTGACCCCTTCCTCCCAACTCCACGCTCGGACCGCTCAGTGAACCTGCTTTGCTTTGGCCTCTTTGAGCTCTTGGGCGGCGCCCTGGCCGCTGGTCTCTTCCACCTCACGACTGTGACGGCAGCTGAGACTGAGGGGAAGGCAGAGGCCAAGGCGGGAACAGCTTGCGGGTTGGAGTCGAAAGGTGGGGGATCAGTGATCAGTGAATCCGGACCCAGCCCATGAACAGTGACCGGTGCACAGCACAGATTACTCATGATTACTCAGATTACTCTAATGACTCCGTCATGGGATTTGTGGGGGTTTCGATTCTGCGCGACCATGCTGCTCTAAGTGTCACCTGGCCAGCACTGTTCAAGACCATCAATTACCTAATTGCTAGAGCCCGTATAGTTGTGTCATGTGTTTCATCTTTTTTTGTTTGTGTTCACCGTGTTCCTTTGTTCCGAAGCTGATCACTGTCTTCCCTCTCCGCATCTCCCCATCCCATCCTCCACCAGGGCGAGAAGCTTGACGCCGCGATCGAAGCGTAGCCGACCTGGGCCCAGTGGCCCGTCGCGGCCGTCTCGGCCGGTTTCAGCCGGAAAAGATTTGGGTCCTCACTGGATTGCGGTTCTTTTTCTTCCAACTGTAGAATCATGTAGAATCCCCTATGCCCCAGAACTATGAAGAAAAAAGAGTGGATGCAGATGCAAATACAATAATATCACAATGCTTTTGTTGGAAGATGCTGGGAGTTCATTTGCTGCCGTTCAGAATTGCCTGTTGGGAGAGACCTTGTGATGATTCTCAGCATCGAGACAAGGAGTGATGGATCTGGATCACACTCTCCAGCTCCCTTTCGACCCATATCCCATATGTTTGAATCCCTCCAGGTACAGCTATGTTGGGTCTTAGCTTTTTGTTCAACCATGTTTTGAAAAGGATTTGGATCGATACTCATTTGTTCAACCTTGCAGCCCAGGCGGATCTTAGGGGGTTGAAGATAGAGGTCCTGAATTGTATATATATATTTATATATTAGGTGCAAACGCTGATCGCCCCTAGAAGCATGTGTTCATCCAAGGAACCCACCATCATGCTTTTTTCTTAAGGGCTGAATAAACACATGGTTGCTTCTTGAGGCAGGTATGGAGCTCAAGGGCCAGGCCGAAACCGAGCCTTTTATAACACCTATAGTCACATAGGTGGTTTGAACAGTGGTTTCCAAGTCACAAAGTATGACGCACGGAGACTCCTGGACAGCAGGATGAAAACAAGTGCAGCTGCCCCACACGAAGAGCGAGCGCGGTTTCTCGCGCAACAAGGCTTTGTGGTGGAACTGGACGCTCGAGCTGGTCAGCACAGAACGTACTGTAAACACCGAGGTTGTATGGGATTCTTAGGCCTTGTTGTCTTGCATGTTTGATTCGAACGAAGACCTACTACAGAGAGAGGATGTTCATGACAATTTGAAATTGCAAGAGTCCGGCAATGTCATCAAATTGCGTGGGAGCACGGGAATTACAGCTTGACAGTTGTGCAGATGTGACAATCAGACAGCGCAATCATAGAACCTATGGGTCTTCAGGATCAACCATGGGAACCACCGGTTCTAAAACAAGTCACCGTTTCATCTAGGTGCCACACAGTCCCACCGATCTTTGATTGTTTCGAGCATGACTCTGTTGCCTGTGGGTAACTCTGACTGAGCAAATCCAGTGATCCACAGTATTAACTACCTTTTGGTGACCCCCAAAAATACATACAATTCTAAGTAGGGCCTTCAAACATGCATTGCAATCTCATACAATCTCTTTGGTGAGCACTGCAGCCTTGCATGCCCTTGGCCTTTGGCGCTGCTTGCGTTTTGCTGGCATCCTTCCGTTTAGTCTCTGCGCGGATGGACACTTTGTCAATGCACTGTGCGACCGGAAGGGAGGGAAGGGCAGCAGGTCGATCATTTTGGAACATGGATGAACATGGGCCTATGTCACATGTCCATATGCTTCCGAGACAGTCTCCGTGTGAGCAAAAAGGCGAGACCCAGCTGGCCGCTGCACTGTCATGGCACCGGGGGAGGAACACTTTCCCACCGAACATGAACAGAATAATACGTGAAGAGACATGGTCAACCCACCGGGGTGGTCCCGAACTCCAGGTTTTCATGACCCATCCCCACATGACTCTTGGCAAGGGCAAACAAACATATGTGTGTATATATATATATTTTTTTTATTTTTTGGGTTGGGTGGGTGCCAGCACTTCAAACAGCCGCCATTGCTTCAAGCAGCTGGCTGGGAACCTTGGGATCTTGTGGCCTTGAAGAAGATGCTTCGTTGGCTTCTCTCCTGGTTGTCAGGGAGAACTTCTATCTATCTATCTATCTATCCATCCATCCATCCATCCATCCATCCATCCATCCATCCATTCCATCGATCTATCTATCTATCTATCTGTTTGTCTATCTATCTATCTATCTATCTATAGGCTCTTGGGCCAACGTTGGAGCATCAACACACGATCCAATTTGAGAAACACACTTGCACCCCTGCTTCTGGATTATATATAATATGAGCACCGTTTTGCAATTGTTTTTTGTTTGGTTCAAAGACTAATCACCCTGAACATGGAATCAACATGAACAGACTTTGGCAATACACACTGCAAAAAGGAAGCCAGCATGTTTGGCCTGCAAAGTGCATGCAATGTGTTCAACACATACTTAAGGCGTGCAAGCTGGCAGTGGTGGCGCGGAAAGACCTGCAGATGTCCGCTGGAAAGTTGGCAGCACAGGCTGTGGTGCTGGGGCCAAGCCCAAGAACCTCCCACCACAACGTGGAAAGTGCTCATTTGCTTTGGTCCAGGAAGCCAGACACGTATGGGCCGTAGGGGTTTCTTGAATAGAATGGAAGGGCTTTTGCAGGCTGTGAGTGGACCTTTATTTACGCACATATTTGCAAAGCGGTTGGAGGATGTTGGAGGTCATGGCGTCATCCATCACATGGCAAGTTGGTCCACCTTCTTCAACGTTTCCAATACAATTCAAGAGTTCAAGACAAAGAATCATTCCACCCCAGACATCCTGCTGAGCACCAAAACAGGGTATAAGTTGAATTGATTGATGTGGATTTGTGAATTGTAATATATTGTAACTATATTAGACTATAAAGATCAAACACCTATATAAGAAACACCACCTCCCTAAAGATCAACTGCAGCTGGCACTTTCGGGAGCGACCAACCAACCGAACCCCTTCTGTAGGTCCATGCGAATTCGACCAGGTGGGCCATGCGGTGCATGACGCAGTGGTCGAGTGCCCCAAGGCCGCCCTACCCGATGCGGGAAGCGATGTGAGAGACATCGGTTTGGAAAGGATGGGACATATAGTTGCATCAGATAGTATAAGAGAGTTCTTCTTTAGTTTTTCTTGAGGTGTCCAGTCTAGTCGTTTGATGTTATTTGCGTTTTGGGATTTCAGATGTGTTGGAATGCTTAGATGCGTTCTGTATAATATATTTATATTATATATATAGTGTTTTAAAATGTTGGTTTTGTGTTTCCAAAGGGTAGGTTGTTTTGTTGAACTGGTAGTCAAGGGATATTGGCTCCATCAGACGTTCCCCCCGTCGTTCATTGTCAAGGAATAAAAGGACTGGTCAAAGACTTTTGCCTGACTATGGAGGGATATGGAGGGATGATTATTCATGTCAAAAGTGATGCGACTCATCAGCAAACCGTGACAAGAACCCAACACATTTCGCTGTTGTTGGTCTTCTTTGAACCTTCAAAGTAGGAGGGTTCTCGCCTCCCCACAGGCGAAGCTGGCCGCCTGGGAAGAGGATGGATCCATGATCGTGGTGCCTCAAGCTGCTCCTCGGCTCCCGGACGATTCGAAGTGCTCTTCCACCGGTACTCGTCGCGACTCACGGTCTCTTCCACCGTCCCATGGTCCGTTCGTTCCTTTACCCACGACCGGTCTGGACCCGTTGGGCGCGACGGCCAGGACTCCGAGGCCGAGCTGAAGGAGCTCCTGTCCTCGGCTCAACGGCTGAAGCTGCAGACCAGCGACGTCCAAGACGAAGGACCGCGGCGTCGACCGTCGAACGTGGTCCGTAGTGGTTGAGTCCGGAGTGGTTGCTGCGTGGTCCAGAAAAAGCAGGCGGGGCTCTTGGGGCCTATAGGTTTGTGTTGGATTCTCTTAGGCAGCTTCAGGATCTTGCCATTCCATTCCATTATTCTTAGCCCTGCAAGCAGTGCCTCACACGTGGATCCCTTTCCACCATCACGGTGGTCGCGCTCAGCGCGGTGCCCAGGACTCACCGAGGCGCCGTTCGAACCGCTCTCCGGTTCTGCACCCAATCGGTTCGCCTCCGTGGATTTCCTGGGGATCCTCCCCATAAGGAAATTGTGCTATTGAAGAGTTTTTGTGGAGCATCCAGTGAATGGTGGCGTTGATTCATGTTGATGATTCACTTATAATATATATATATATTTAAATTATATAATGTATATATCTCTCTTTGGATAATATTTTGATACATTTTGATACATAATTCTTTTGTATTTCATGGTTGTCCACAAATCTACTGATTGGTTACAGTTTGTGGCCAGTGGAGACGTATTCTCTTACTGTCAGCCTGGCTTCTCCAGTTGAGATTGAGGCTCGGATTGCCTTACGGTCACCCTCAGGTGGTCTAGGAGGCTCAGCCCCTCGGCCACAGGTCGAAGATGAGACCTGGACCGTGTTAGCCATCGGTCCAGATGTCTCTGCCCGGGTAGATGCCGTCACAGGCGGGCATCTCGGTCTGACACAATGGCTTGAACCACTGGTCCAGACTCCCTGAAGTACCGCATCTCCCCAGCTGGCGCATGCTGGCACATACACACACAATTCATCTTCATCCGAGCATTTCGGGGAGTGAATGGAGGGTAGCACATCCACTACATTGGTCTTGGAGCGGATCTTCTGAAGCTTGAATACTCTTTTAATTCATTCAGTCAGGAAGCTCTCACGTTTCATGAGCTTGGCTATACGGTAATACGCAATAAACTGTGTGTATATATAATATTAATAGATCATCGTAGAACCTTTGTGACCCTTGTTTAGAGCACCAACTGACCAAGCATCCAACATGTGGCCTTTTGCATCCTTTTGCTACCAAAACATGGTGTCATGGGTTTGTATATAGCATTAGAGAGACCGCAAGACCAATGGGAAGACCTAACATCGCCATTGCTTGGAGCTTGGGGCTCTTTTCAGTAACCGACACGGGTTCTATCCCGGACACTCCATGTATACTATATTTGCTTCAATCCTCAGTCCTCCTCAATCCCGAAACCAACCCAACTGACCGGTGAAGATGCCCGGTCCTAGACCGGTGATCTGTTTTGTTCGTCCGAACCGATCCTTCCAACGTCACAACTTCGACCCCGTTGGACCCAGGAGTCGGACCGAGGAGTCGAATTGCGCCGCTCGGTCGGTGACGGTCACGGTCCAGGTCCGCTGGGGCTCTACAGCGACCCGCTGCACGCGGAAGCGCACGAGCTGCGGGAGCGTTTACAGCGCGCGGAGGCACAGCTGGCAGAGCTGAAGGCGTGATGTTTGGGGCAGAGCTTAAGGGGCATGCTTACCCTTTGGTCAGGCAATTGTTTGGGGGGGGCTGATCGGCTGATGCAAGCAGTTTCGGAGTGGAAGACAATAGGTCTTAATGAAGCAGCTATGCTATGCTGTTGTGAGCCCTGTCATGATCGGAGACCTCTGATAATTATGTGGTTGATCATGTGCCATTCAGCGCCATCGGCTTCGGGTGTTGGGAGGAGGCAAACATCTTAGATGACTCCACCGCCTTCGTTCGTCGGTTCGTCGCCCCGCCGGTTCGTCGGTTCGACGGTGCCGACCAGGGGGACCTTTGATGCTGAGAAAAAAAGCAGGAGCAGAGCGGCGCGCACGATGGATGATTGGAGTCTTTGGATGTGGTCCCCAAATAGATAGGAGATGATAGGAGTATATAGGAGCTGTTTCCAATACATTCTCAGTGGGGATCTACTTGTCTAATCTTTTCTATCTATTTTGGGGTGTCTATATAGATTGATACAGATTGGCTACATTCTTCAAAACTGCCAAGTTGTGTTGGTCTTCCAGCAGTTTGCAAGCGACAATCCTTGTTCCATCAGCTATTCCATCTCCGAGGTTGACTGACTTTGCATTCTGAGAGAGTCTCACCAGATGCGCACCAGTCACAGTGATCACGGAGAAAGACGCTACCCCTTTGCGCGGACATCAAGCGCGCTCAATCGAATTCAACATTCTGACTATATAGTCAAGTGTTGTACTCGGAACAAGGTTTGTCCGAAGTCCAACAATTTTGACTGGACACAATTTGATCTGAAGGTGTTTAGGAGTCTGGACGGCACCATATTCAACCGTTTGCCCGTGCCTTGAGAGTTGATGCGGTGGGGTTCTGACGGCTCAAGTCTCTCACGAAGGCTGCATGAATCAAGAATAATTCAGATATATCAAGATCATCCAGTGAACCATCCAGCATCTTACTAACAGGTAGATCAGGTAGACAGGCATAGCCATAAGTTCTGATGCTGTTTGGACGGGATTTGGAACGACCCATCCTCACTTCATTGACATCCGGCATCTCCGCTCTCCACCACCGACCAGTGACGGGTTCATTTGAAGCGATTTCCATGAGCGATTCCTTGAGTAGCAAGCTGGTCGCGGGCATTTTCTTGCTGGGCGTCGGGCTGGGGACCACCATTGGCTGGTGTCTCGACCTGCACGAGCCAGGAATGGCTTACAATCCATCGTAGTAGAAAAATGTGGAACAGCGGACGCCTGAAGATCCCGTTCTTCTAGAACGTGGATTTGGGCAGCTTCCATGATTTTGGGGTGAATCAGAAGTCTGGTGACCGGGCTGTTCTGGCAAAACTGCGAAAAGATTTCAACTAGTAACTGGAACTATATTGGTCAGTTTAGTCCTTGGAACCCGTTGTTGTTTTTTGGTGCTATTACCCAGGGAGAGTGAAGCAAAATTGAAACCTGTTTGTTAGCCGACATGTGTGACACGTTTTTAGACCTTTCCCGAAAAGGCCCCAAAATCGAGCCCCACAAAAAAGCTCAGGCAAAGCGCCTGTGCCCTCTATCGCACGGAGGCAGACTGCAGACTGGGCCGATTGGGGTTCAGGTTGGAAAACTGGAAGTGGATGGACCAAGCGCCAGACTTGGGGCGTTAGGGGCATCCCTTTTGAATTAAGACTGATTGAACGATGGCCCATGGCTGAAACGTCCAGAGCTGTGTCCATTGTGGGTGCTGGAGTGAGACAATGTTGTACCAGTTGTTGTACCATATTTTGGGATTGATATGGATAAATTACGACTCGACCTTTGCACTCTATGACCTTTTAAAGTCCTAAGACAAGATGCGCAGATCAATGCGGACATGACTTTTTGCGCTTGACAGGAAAAGCGGGAAGCCGTCCGAGCAAAAGTGGCTCTCTATGCCTCGCTCTATGGCGGCTTTGGATGAACATGGTTTCAGGATTCACTGCTAGGTGAATCACGTGGAGGCTTTATCACTTCATGCAGGGTGTTCGCATCGCCAACCTCTATCGGCAGCACTTCATATGTCACAGTGGAAGATGTCAAAGGGGATGCTTCACAGTTAACGGTGCCTTTGGAGGCCTCGATTTCTACAGCCCAGGTGGTTTTGCCTGACCCAATCACGGATTCGGACCCCCACGAAACCATTTCGAAATGACCCCATCCCATAACAAACCGATTATATGCTGTACATGAAATCCCATGATAATTAAAGCCTTTGTCCAATCCACTCTATATACCCTCAGGCGGTAGAATGCTCTTGTGCATGTGATACGCTCATAGGGTGCGTGAAGTATGATCCCCTATGCTCTAATTTCTTGTGCTTGGAGCCATCTCCGCATGTAATCCAACACGATGCTGAACTCACCAAGCGTCGATGGTACCATCCAGGTGGCTTCGGTTTGGCAGCCGTGTTGGCCATGAGCCATGCTTTCCGCTGAGTGGTTGTTGGGTGTGGCCTCAGCAACGATGCCATTGGGAGAGGGCTGCTTAGCGCGCTTTGGTTTTCTGTTTGTTTTGATGGTTTTTAATGTCACTCCTAGGCAACCCCATGAAGGCACCATAGGCTGCGGTGAAAGTTGGAAGACCAGCGACCTGATCCAGGTTGAGATGCCAGCTGGTGCATTTGCCGAGCCGATTCGGCCATCGCTTGAAGAAGAAAAGAGCAATGCTAGCAATGCGATCGGAACTTTGCAGTTCCTGCCAAGCCAACATAGTAAGTCCACCTGTGACACACTGTGATTTGTTAAATGTCAGATTATGTCAATGTCACCTGTGATCACAGGGGATGATCATGTGACCTCGGCAATATGTTGCCTTGGAAAGAGTTACCTTTGTGACAGCAAACGCCCAATGTTCTGGCTGACCGCTGAGAAGAACTTATGCTCACGGTGGTTTTCCTTCAAGCTTGGAAGCCGTTTGAGACAACACAGCCGACAGCTACATCATGGCATGTACTGTACTATACCTACTACCACGCAGTTTTAGCAGAATGTTGCAGCAAGTGACCAGTTTCTTACAGTTTCTTGCTGCAAACTTGAAGTTGTTGATGGTTGCTGTAAATTGACCTAAGATGACCTATTTTTCTGGCCCCGACTTTCTGGGTATACTTTTACATCCATATTCACACAATGTTCACGGCTGGATTGCCAGAACACCCCAGGATTCGTTGGCCCTGCCGCTGTGAACCGAAGAAAAGCCTCACCGCCATGCCGCCATGGCCCACGCGGAGGGCTATGCCAGCGACGACGACTGCCCGTCGAAGCCGCTTCCGTCACTGGGTCCAAGTCCAGGAGGTCGCGTGGCCCTCGAATGATAGTGATCCCTCAAACAGATAGCGGCGCGGTTTCCAACACATTTTGAGTGGGGATCTACTTTTGTTTTATCTATTTGGGATTAAGAGAGTGGCTAGTTCAAACAATCAATCTAGATAACCTGCAGGATAGCGAACGGACGCAGGATAGCCAACACGCTTCTCCAGGAAGCTTCCCCCCCCTGAGGGCGGGAAGCTTCCTTAAAGACGCGCTCGCACTATTAATTTGGTTCTTCGATTCATTTCTTGATAAGAAAAACATACAAAAGGACTCGAAAGGACTTTGGACAAAGGACCAACTTGAGTTCCCTTTTGGGGGTGTCCACTTCTTAGAACATGATTGATGCCCATGACGTGGTGCAGTGCACAAGCATACAAGGCTTCGTCTCATTTTCCTACGAAGAAGGGACATGGGCGACAGGTCAGTGTTACACTAGCCCCTCAGAGGTTCAGGATTGTTCAATCATCACTCCTTTTGGTCCTGATATGCGCATCCTTTCCATGTTCATAACCAAATCCCAAACCCACGATACAACACGTCGATCTTTAGACATGCATACAGCATACATATTCATTAAGAGATCCATCACCATATCCGATTCCCTGTTTTTTGTTGCTTTTCCCTCCAATGTTGTCACACAGTTCCCAAACGAGGCACGGCTATGGTGCTTTGGACGGGGATCCTCTTCGGCAGAAGAAGCGCGGTTTGGACGCCCTACGGCACCTCGACCGCGCTCGGTGGAAGGACATGGCCGGCTTCCACAGTAAGAGCAGGAAACCTTCGCTGCCAACTTGTAACATGGGCATTTCTCAGGGCAGAACCTAGCA